AGATGTTCATCCTAGATGATTCATATGACTCTCCATTGTGCAGACAACCATCAATCACATATTTCGGTTGATATATCTTTAAGGCTCACCATCCCTTGGATGACTTTTCCAACAGAGCAAGAGTTTCATGCTCTCATAGACTTGATAAGAGTACTAAGTTAGAGTAAACAACCTCTATCCTATATATGAAAAGTACCACAATCCATATTGAGAAAAATAAAGCCTCAATATAAAGATGTCAAGACATTATGTTTGACACTCCTTCAAGTTCTTCTAGCTTCAGATTAAGGACTCCCCCTTATTAACTGCTAAGAATTCCTTGAGAATCATACAGTAGCTGCACAACTCGTGGTTGGTATGCACAAGTTATTCCCTTCCAAATAAAATATGTCCCATAGCCATCAATAGGATTCATAAATCTGGCTCCTTTGATCAGAAGGATCTTCCAGACGTCAGAGAGAATGTCCTCGACATTTGAGCTTGACCTCCACATATAAAGGATCTGGATAAGATACCTTTATCAAGATTTCACAGGTAGAACAAAGCATAACCACTGCACTCTAACTCATGTAGACCAGAAATAAACGGATCTAATGAGTGTCCAGTATGTTGATCGTGTCTTGATCAACATACATTTCTAAGATAGAAACTTTTTAGACACATCACACAAATGCCTCCTCTTCCGGATCAGGAGTAGGTTCCAAACACACATGATCAAACTACATTTGTTTAGCCCCCAAGCATCTATTATGCCCTACCTTTATCCAACAAGATTCTGCATAATCTTCTAGTATGATGTTCTAATATCTGGTAGGACATCAGTTCCCTTCACAAGGAACACAACAAGATATCCTTTATCAAATCTAAGAGATTGGCCTTTTAGGGTTGAAAGCAAAATATAAATTGCTTCTACCAGATCTCTTTTCAACAAACTTATACATAAGTGCCTTTATGAGTGGACTTGGGATAAACCTCAAATATCTTTGGTAACTTTAACAAGTTAGTCGAACCTCTCCTCAAGTATTACCACACGATGAGATACACCTTCAGAGGAGAATAAAGTGTTGCAAACTCAACACACAAAACCACCAAAAGTCTTCCATCAGATATATATGTAGCGAAACACAAACCAGAAGACTCCTCGCCAACATTCAGGAAACACATAAACCTTTGCACCAACACACCAGGTGCAACGGGTTAACCTAGGTTTGAAAATAAATAAAACCCTTAATACAACAACTCTCCTCCAAAGCTACTGGCCTGAAAACAACACTGACAGGTCCAATACACCTCCTATCATGAGCAGTCAATACTCTACTTCTAGGGACTGTTCAAACAACAATATGAACTCTCCAAGTTCAAACAACTTTTTACTAAAAACCTTCATTTCCCATGACCAGAAAGTATCATCCCAAGATCTCACCTAGAACAAAACATGATGGCTGCTCTGATACCAATTGAAATTCTGGTATGATAGAACTCAGATGTCCTAAGAGGATATAGAGTCATCTAATTTGACACAAATAACACAAACAAGGTATAAACATTAAAAACAGTACTAAAAAGAAATAACAACACACCAAAATTGTTAATCCAGTTCGGAGCAACTCTCCTACTTTGGGGGCATACCAAGCCAGGGACAAATCCACTAATACTGGTATCAATTCAAAGCTAAACTCCTTCATTTACAACTTATCAATTAATCACTGCCTCTCTAGATTTATATCTAAGACTCACCTAGATATGAGGCCCTTCTTAACCCCTCGTCAATCACAGACAGTGATTGGATCAACACAATTCTGAACAAACCGGAATACACACTTCCATGACCATACCTAGCTAAGACTCAAGGTTAAACTCCCATGTTTACAACCTTTCTCCTAACCAAAAACAACAACTTGGAGTTGCTTTAAAGCTTCCTCCAAGAACAATACTCAACTCATTTCCTAAAGGTTTCTGAGTGAGAACATGGTGACCATCCCATAACCCGAGTGGTTCACCTTGTAAAAGCCCTAGACTTCTACATCTTGAACCCGTGTCAAACTAGGTTACAAACCCTTATATTTATAACCTATTCACAACTGGAGTTGGGCTTTCTAATAATAGTAAATCAGCTGTTACAAACCAATAGTAACTTCTTCTACAAACAAGGTCTTCAATCATTTGTTTCCTAAATAATCTCCTTATTTAGAAATTGTATAATCTCCGATATTCTGACTTGATTCTCTTGACCTTTAATTCAGCTCCACATATGATTGCATAATATTCCTTGAATATTCTACACTTGTTAAATCATAACAAATTTAACATAATCACTTCAGCTCGGGCGCAATGTCGTATGCTCCTTCATAAGACATCTTATTCGACATGTTGTTCCAGATGTTGAAACACTTCAACTCAACATGTCCCAAACATAAGATAGAACTTTTTACTCAACTTGTTCCTGTTAGCAAATTAATATATCATATCTAACAAATTGTTGCTTTATTTGTTTTATAAAAATTAATGTCAATCCTATAACTAGAGAACTTACACTTTTACTTACCAAAATAGCAAGAATCACAGGGTACATCATTATTACATCGACCAGGAACAAAAGGAAAAACTCTGGAAATATTCTCAAAACCCACATCAGAGATGTGCCCTAATCTCATATGCCAGCGGTTACAAGGGTTTTGAGCAAAAGAATGATAAGCACGAGAATGAACAGACGAGTCAAGAACATAAAGCCCTCTTTGGAGTTTAGTTGTACCAATCATTTTCTTGGAATGATTCTGCATAATTTTGCAGGAATTATCAATAAAATGAACACAATAATTGTTACATTGAACAAGTTTAGCAATGGATATCAAATTAACATTGAAATTAGGAATATACAAGAGATTGTGCAAAGTTAAGGTAGTGGAAATAACAATACTGCCAGAAATGGAGGCAATCACTCGTGAACCATCTGGTAAGCTAACATGAATGGGTATGATGGATTTGTGAGACAGAAAAACAGTAAGGTCAAAAGCAATATGATCTATAGCACCAGTGTCGAGAATCCAGAGATATGAATTCTTACCATGTTCATTGTGAGAGTGTGAGTTTAAAATAAAGGGTGAGATGGAGATAGAATTGGCTTGAGAAGTATCTTTGGATTGTTGAAGTAATTACAAGATGTTGTGATACTGCTCTTGAGTGAAGCCAAATGAGGATTAAGATGAATTATGCTGAGAAGACTCCTAACATGTTTCAACAGAAGTAGAAGATTGAGCAACAAAGTTAGTGGATTTACCTTTACTCTTGAATCCAGGTGGGTAGCCATGCTTAAAGAAGCATGTCTCTATGGTGTGGTTAGTTCTGCCACAGTGAGTGCAGACACAACTGTTTTCTTTAGCTCCACCATAATTGTGGGATTTTCCTTTGTCATAGTTGTTGCCACTCTTGGTGTTACCACTGCCAGTAGAAGAATTGAACTGGAATGTTGTAGATTCTTCAACATTGGTTGCACTTGGCACGACTGAAGAACTATAGTTATTCAATTCTCTTTCTTGTTGAATAACAAGTGAAAAAGCCTTATCAATTTCTGGTAAGGGATTCATCATCATGATTTGCAACTTGGAATACACCAATTTCTCATTCAATCCCTTGAGAAAACATATCACATAATCTTATTCACGATATTTATGAATCGATGCAAGAGCATTACATGAACAAGGAATGACACAACAACAATCAGTGATAAGACGATAAGTCTCAAGTTCATCCCACATCACCTTCATCTGTGTGAAATAATTGGAGACATTGAGTGTACCTTGGCGAAATTTGTACAAGTCTTCCTGAAGATAAGAAATTCTAAATATATCACCGTGAGAAAAGCGAACTTGCAGATTCTTCCATATGCTAGCAACATTGTCAATCCACATAACGGATTTAGCAATGGAGTCAGAAGTAGACCGATGAATCCAAGTTAGAACCATCGTGTTGCAGCGAATCCACTTAGCATAAAACGGGTCTGAAACGGGAGGTTTCGTTAGGGTTCCATTTATAAACCGCTCTTTATTCTTGGAGATTAATGCAATATGCATTGATCTTGACCAAGTATGATAGTTCTTGACATAAAACAACGATGAAACAAGAACGAGAGACGAATTTTCATTCGGATGCAGATAGAAAGGATTCGTTGAATTTGTGGAAAAATCACTAAAGCTTTGGTAAGCCATCAATAGAAGATCAAGCAGAAAAACAAAGCAAACGAGAAGAATAATTATGATACCGATTAAAAAGAAAAACAAAGAAGACAATAATATAATCGAAAAGAAGTTTGCACCAATAACTACCTGAGCTATTTAAGCTCTGATATCATGTCAATGGTGAATAATTCACCTTGGTGATGCATTGAAAAAGAAAGAAGAAGCTAACCAACAAAATTTGTTACAGAAACGGTTAAGCAATAGTTATCATTCTTATTCAATAAATTAAAACTAATTACAACCAATTATATATATCTACCTGATAAAGCAAGAAAATGTGTAGCTAATAATAGCTTAGATATCTACACACGTGGCAATCTATTAGAGACTAGGAAGGGAAAAAATAATATACTATACAAAGCTATATTTACAAGTATTTTGAAAAATATGAAAGGAGAAGGATTTGACATATTTTTTATAATTAAAACAACATTCAAAAATGCATCTCCTTTAATTATACAGAAACCCATTTCCAATCTTTTTTAAGCTTCTATAACTAATGTGTTAGTGATACGTCCAAAGATTCACTTCCTAAATCTACTCAAATTTTTGGTTATTCAAGAGGGTGACTAAGCAATTTATAGGGTGCATTAAACAATTTCCTATGTTTTTAGGAGGAACAAAGTCACGTTTTTTTGGTTATGGCTCGCTTTGGGTATCTAACTATAAATAAGTATCGATAGATTTAACCCTAAAATATTGCGACCCTAAAAAAAACCAGCTGTTCGCTTTTCTTCCGCCAGAGACAACACCAACACGGCATCTATGTCTGAGTCAGATGTAAGGTTCATCTCTCCTTTAATTTTTCCTATTTTCCCGTTGGATGATGAATTTTTGTTAGTAATATTACATATCTCTACTTCATTTACATGATTGTAGGGTTTTGAATGGTTGAATTGGGGCTAACTAGATTTGATTGTTTTGTTTTAGGAAATTGTATTTTGTAATATTTTTCATATCAAATCTAAATTGGTTTTGTATTGATTTTCTTTGCTAAGTAGAACACAAAAGATTACTATCAAATCACATGGTTAAGTTGGAACAAAGACTGTGTTCTTAATAAACTGTGATGTAACTGTTGAAAATTTGCTTTTATTATGTTTTTTTCTTAATAAAAGGAAGTCACATGTTTGTTTTAACACTGCGACCAGTGTCGCAACACTTGGATCGACCGTGACGTGACTGTGACCGATTTTAGAACCCTGAGTATCGCTTAAATGTTACAATATTTTGTTGTGTTTTTAACATTAGGTGGAAAAGGAAAGAAAGAGAGCACAAGATGATGATATTGCAGCCACATCTTATGTGAAGGGACAATACTCTATTCCGAATTGTATTGATGTCTTGATAATTGTAAACCAGAAAAAACAGGGCCGGGGTGATTGGAGCAATGATATATTTAGCTATGCTTTAGAATTGATTAAAGATAGCAAAAATAGAGTCATTGTTATCTATTTAAAAAATCGGTTAAATGATTTGGCCAATTGGATAAACCACAAGTATGACAGTAGAAACCGCTAGAATTTGTTTTCAGATTTTACTATGTGAAACATCCTATTGTAATAAATCTGTTGTTGTAATTTGTGATTTTGTTTGTTTATCCTTGCAATTTGTTCTATCAATGGCTTTTAGTCAAACTATAATGAACATTCAATCTTATCTGATGGAACAACAACATTAATTACATATGTCTATTCACATGAAATGCTGTTTGAAGCAAAGTATTAGATTTCTTTACTCTAATCATGAAACTGGTTGCTAGAAATTTTAATATTTGTTAGAAGTATGTCGGCTAGAGTCTCTATTAGAAACAAAGGTGAAAGACAAAGAGTTGTATCAGTTACATTAGAAATGCTAATTGAATCTGTTAAAGATAGTTAGGAATTAAGTAACTCACATGGAAGCATTCCAAGTTCTAAAGGTAGTCGTGGGAGCAGTCATGGTAAAGGCCAATATACCATAAGTAATCAACCTATCTGTCATTTATGTTAAAAATATGGCCAATCTGTTAATGACTGCTGGCACAAGTATGATGAGTCATTTGTGCCTCTGACTTCTCAACCAAGAGCATATGGAAATCAACAAGTCAAAAATGGAAAACATGAAATATCTGCATCAAATGCTCAAGTTGTAGATATGATAACTACCACACATCACCGCGTGCCTACTCACAAGAGTAGGCACTTCCTCCCAAGCTTGAATCCTAAGCATAGTTTCCTGTGACTCGGTGCTTCTCATCACCTTACACCTTATGAATATCTCTTACACAATATAAAACCATATATAGGACATAACAAAATGTATGTTGGTAATGGTTAAACCCTGGAAATTAAGTTTGTTGGTTCAGACTATTTTCATTCTAAATTCATTTCCAATAACAAACTTATGATTGATAATGTCCTGTTGTATCTGTTTCTGCTTTAGCTAGCACTATTTTCATTTAGCTACTGTAAATAACCCAAAGTCTAGCTCTCTATTGCATGTTAGACTTGGTCATGCCAACTTTAACCTAGTCTGAACCTATTACTCTATCCTAGTATTATAATGTAACTTTATCCATTGAGCAAACCAGTCAAGATCATGTTAGTCCAAACATTCTCTCTCCTACTTTATTCGAGTCCAACTCTCATATTAGGGTTGGAAAGAAATTCCATAACCGATCAAATGCGTCCGGTCCATTTGGCTCGCGAAGAAACAGTCCATTTGGCCCGCGAAGAAACGGGTCGGTTGAGTTGGTTTTTTGAGTTATCGGGTTGCCAGGTGTTGGATTCACATGAGTTGATATGGTCGGTTTCGGTTTGTTGCTTTAAGCCCAGCGGAATTCGTATTCGACCGGCTAATAAGTTGTTATTATCTGTTCTGTTTATTTAGTATTGTAGTGCTGGATATTGTATTAATTGAATAGGTCTGGTTCAATATTAAAAACCCAAACCCAACTTAGGTTCTCTCCAACACACAACAACATAGCGCCGTAATCATCTTATCAACCCACGAACTCGTCACCACCCTGCCAACATCGATCTGTCATGTAAGTTTTATGCACTCACTCCTTGTTCTCTGTCTCCTTCTCTCCATCTCTCAATCTCTCAAAAAATTTGTTGGCCATTTTTATGAACCTGTTAAATAATAAATTGCACATTTTGCATTCATGTATGTAAATATTTAAATTGGTTTATGTATAAATGAATGTTGAACCTGTTAAAATTGTTTAAATTCGCCATTTTTATGAACATGTTGAACCTATTGAATGAGTGTGTAAATATTTAGTTGGTCACGATGTATTATGGTTGTTGTTTTATTGTTTGTGTTTTGGTTTTATTTCAGTTTTCGAGTTTTCAGTATTTGAGCTACAAATCCTTGTGTTCGGAAACTGCTTATTTATTAAGCCTCATATGATTTAGTACTTTACTGTCATTTTGCAACTCTTACTCAAGTTAAATCGGCCTATTCAAGTAGCATCACGAGTTTATTCGTTCATATTAAGCTTCTCAAAATCCTTGGCATTGGATGAGATATTTTATTGTGTTGTTCATAAGTGCTCACCTGTATATTCCTAAATTAGTTCAATTTGAACTGTGTATTTACCTTTTGTTTATTCGACATTGACTTATATATACTGTTTCTTCTCAACATATTCTTCCTTTTTGTATGCGTGAAGTCTGGGTGATAACTGCTTGCTTGGCTTTAATTGAAGCAACCACTTCCGACTATAGTGATGGACTTGTGGCACATGATGCAGAGAAGGAGTTCTTTTGTCTTCTTGGTGACCTATATTCTTTAGCCAGAGTTAAGGTGAAATGCTCGTCTCATGAATTCATTAAATAGAAAGAAGTTCTGTCAACAGGTACACTTTCATACCTGAGAATCAAGTATATTCTGCATTTTCATAATCTGATAAATTTCTATTCCTTTCATGAATCTTGTAGTTCAACCAGTTACATGACATTTGGCTTTATTCTCCTTGTTTGGTATATTTCTCTCCTCTTTATTCTCCTTGATACATTCAATTTTTCTATAAATTTTCTCTAATTATCACCGGTGTTGCTAGTGTAGTGATTTGCATCTCATAGATGATAAGTATCTCTTTACGCATAGATAAGTATCTCATAAATTATGCATAGCTGCATAATCAAAAAAGATAATTGATCTGATTGTTTGTTGCTAGTATCTCTTTGATTGTCTTTTTCATAGCTGATATAATGCTCTTTGCCTAACAAGTTTAGGTTTGGTGAACATAATTGATCTGATTTGATGAAGTTGCAGCTGAATTAGTCCCTTTACTAAAGATGTTTGATTTGATGAGTTTATTTGTATAATATTTGAAGCTTTAAACTTAAATGACTTTAAATTTATAATATTTACATTAGGTTGTGTTGTGATCCGTTTGTTGCAGCAGATTCTACTGATATTGTATTTTATAACTATTGGAAAATCGGTACTGTATTTATAACTATTAGATTCTACTCGTATTATATTTTATAACTATTAAAAACTTGAACGCCTCTAAATTTATAACATTCTTTATAGGCCGTTTGTAATATACTTTATTTGAAAATTTAGAATGTGGATGTATTTTTATGACAAATTTAAAAATAAAAAATCGAACAAACTGATCCATTTGAATCGATAAGTTGATTAAACTAATTAAAAATTCAGTTGGAATTAGGCTTGATAAATTCATCCATGGTTTCAAATGGTTTGATATATTGGGCCCAAACCCAATCTAAATCAATTGTTGTTCAGCCCTATCTCATATAGTCATATTATACCTTATCTGAATACACATAATTCAAGGTCGGATATTATGGATTTATGTGATTGTAAGTATGGAGTTAATGATCTTGATATTATTGACTATCAGGATGATTTGATGATGAAAATGTTGATGCTTGTGAAAGTAGGAGAGTAACTCTTAATACACAAAGGGAACTAACGCACACCTAAAATATTTTTAAGGTCTCTCTTTATTTGATAAAATCACCTAAAATATTTTTAGGCCTAGCCAACTTATTAGAGTGTTCCATTGATTGGAGGATTTTTTTCAACTAAATAATTGATTAGACCTGAGGACCTAATCGATTATTTTCACTAAATTGAGTTTAAAATTGATCGGGGCATTATCTTAATTATTGATAACATCTTGAAATTCTGGTATACAGATAATAATGTCCTAACACATGTTGAGGCAAAGATCTCTGTGTAACAATCATTGGATAAGGTAAAGCACACTGATATAATACATATCAAAAAAAACATCATGACAGATGTTTCAACATCGTTATATGACATGTCAGTCAACAAAGAAATAAAAACTGAACAATGCATAATGATAATAACACAAGAATATGATGATCCAGTTCGGTAAACACACATCTACTCTGGAGGCTACCAGTCCAGGAAGAAGATTCTACTATCAGTAGTATTATTTTTTGTAAACAACCTCAGGTTTACAGGTAAATAACTTCCATTTTATCTAATCACTATCCAATTCAATCTTTATCTCAAATTCATCCAAGATAAGAGAGACCAATCTCACTCCCTAAATCACCTCATCGATATCAAACAATCACAACCTCTGGTGACTACATCATACTACTTGAAAAACACCCCGTTTAAATAAAGTTTAGCCAAAAATCTTGACTAACTAACACACTCAGATTTACTTTAAAACTTCATCCAAAAATAATATACAATTCATTACCTAAAGGCTTCTGAATCTGTATAAATAACTATGTCTACCTTAATGCATCAAATTGATACAAAGAGTGACTTACAACACAAGAAAGTATACGACTCTCAAAATATTAAACCCTTATCAAAATTACACTGTGAGAATTATCTTGTTTTAGGGTTGAAGCCTTCTTTTTATAGTCTTCAATTCACTGGATTTGGGCTTCACAAACATAACTGGATATGAAAATAGGCGCTGTAGAATTCTCTCCTCAAAGATAAGACATCAATCATTAGTTTCTTAAAATCACACAGGATAGCATAATATTTTTAGAATATTCTACAATTTAAAATCAGTTGTATCGAAACTGTAAAATAATTATAACAGCTCAGATGTCCTATACTGTTGGTTAGGACATCTCTTTTGACATATTGAATAAGTAATTTGAAACATCTTGTTGAGCATATTTTTACCAGGTTAGTTTTTCCAGAATTAATTCCAAATACAACAAACATAGAAATAACAATCTTCCTTTTTGGAAAATTTTGGCTAAAACTAACTAAATCAACCTTGCACATATCACATCACATGTTTGAAATAGTTCAAACACATACATACCATAGATGCAACAGTAGAAAACAATACACCATAGATATGAGCAGCAAGAATAAACTCCACAATTGGCCCAAAGAAAATTATTCTTCAACATGTCAAGATATCATGTCTGACATCTCTTATCAGCAATTGAATTTTGAACCACACTTCCCTTTCAACAAACAATCAGAAGATTCTCCCCCTAATCAGAAGATTATCCCCTTTAACAGTTGCATCGTATATCCAATAGTAGAAC